GCCACACTTCAATATGATGTCATAAGCCTAATTACTTTAACTGCAATTAGATCACTTAAGTTAGGCCAGACCTTAAGATAGCAATTAAATATACAATTAACTATATATAATGTATAATGTCCAAAAAAGATCTTACAATCTCCCAATTGGACTATACATTATACATACGTTATAATTGTATATACCGTAAACCTTATGAGCACTCAAAAAATTACTATCATAAAAGTCATCTTAAACAATCCGGTCCATTAGTTGCATTAACATAGGATCAAAGGAGCTTTCGTCGCAATTATCACAATGAATCCCATCAGTGGTCACGTACATTAACATAACTAAACGACATGGATTAAGTGTGGATGCGTAGCATGAAAATTACATGTAATGTGATCTTTAACATGCCTATGGGAGTACAAAAAGTAGCTAGTCTAAACGAGTATATACATAAGGGAACGACACTTTATCTAACATCAAGAGTCCTTTCACTACCCTTGGTAGATCATCTCTGTGTCGAAAAATTTCTGAGCTTCCCGAATATGCCATCTTTTTTAAACTATCAGTAACAGAATTTGTCTCCCGGGATATATGACTTACAGAGTAAACTCTTCTCTGAAGGATTGTAGAAATTTCCTCCAATTGAAATTAGAAGAGCTATGGAAAATCATATTGCTTGTTCAGCATTTCTGCAAAGACTTTACTATCAGTTTGCACTTGAACCGAAGATAAATTCAAGTACTCACACTTTCGCAAACCAAAAAGAATAGCATATATCTCCCAAATATCCACACTCTCCATAAGTCAAAGATCCACCAATCCCTCTTATTTTGAAGCCATAGCCTGCAATCTCTTTTGCATAAGATCCATCTTTGCAATTTATTCAACAATAAAATTAGGTTTAATTAACTTTAATGTTTATGAGGCGAATTAGAAGTTGAAAGGGAAAAAAAGGTGTGGAGTTTACATGTAAGTTTCCCAAACCATAAGGGTTTTAGGTACTTTGTCTAAAAAATTATAAATTACACCTAGATAATAATCACCTTTGATTTGGGTAAGTCTTAAGCACTGCTTCTTGTAATTTTTTTCTGAAAATTAATAAAATTGGGGGAATGCCCGCCAGGTACCGCCCTGGTTCACCTAAAAAAAAAATGCATATGCTCTTTCTCCTGTTAGAGATAATGGACAAAGATACCAAAGATATGAATTGTGTTACATTTTTCTTAGTTAAGATACCTAGAATGGAAATAATTTTAGTATGTAATACCCAAACATGGCCGTTTGGATAGCATGTGTACCTCTTTTGGAGTTCACTCGTGACTTAAAAGGATAACTCAAGATATGATTTTATTCAAAATCATTAACCTGAGTGTGATACTTGAGAACTTAAGCATAAGTAGAATAGATACCTTAAGAATACTAATACTTAAGCTTAATAGGGATTTAGGAACAAGACATAAATACAGTAGTAGAAATTTATTATAAATGGGTCTAAATGAAACTTGATAAGTTCTAAACTAGATATATTTTTATACTCTTATTCGTAGTGTTTTTAATAAGAATTTGTATCTACAGGTTGAATTTCATGCTTAATTTTTTTTAATTAAACAGAGAGGATAAGCAGATATTCAGGTTCCAACTGACATAAAAAAAACTCAAGGGATCTACCCAAGAGGTATATTTTATAATAATGAATTGCAGAAAATAAATTCTACTCATGAAAATTAAATGATAAATTATTGAAGTTTTGAACTTAATTAATGATTTAGAGAATTGAAAGGGAAGAAATTTGATGAGCTGCAGACTTGGAGGATTTGGCATGCAATTATGGGGTCGTTCTTATTTATTTTTGCCGTGGAAGAGAGTTTGAGCTCTCAAATTCAAGGTCTTTTCACCGAACGTCGGCATAGCTCTTTTGACGACTTTGAGCTGTCTGAAGTCTCTGTTTAATCATCCTAACTTTTTCATGAGCGCCATCAATCCAGGGAATAACAATTGCAGTAACAATTTGACGCTCTCCCACTTCATTCCAATACCGTGGAGATTGACATTTCCTCCCATATAGTACCTCATACGGTGGCATGTCAATCGATGAGTGATAACTTTTATTATATGCAAACTCTATAAGGGTAAGATGACGATCCCAGTTACCACCAAAGTCCAATACGCAGGCTCGTAGTATATCTTCAAGCGTCTGAATGGTATGCTCTGACTGCCCGTCAGTCTGAGGATGAGCTGCTTTACTAAAACTAAGTTTGGTCCCCAAAGCTTACTGAAGTTGTTGCCACATTTTTTATACAGATCTTGGATCTCGATCTGAGACAATAGATGAAGGTACTCCATGAAGGCGAATGATATTATCAACAAAAATCTACACCAAATTTTCTAAGGAATACCTCACATTTACTGACAGAGAGTGTGCAGACTTAGTAAGCCGATCAACGATGACCCAAATAGCATCGTGACCGTGCTATGTTCGAGGGAGACCAACCACAAAGTCCATGGTGATATGCGCCCACTTCCATTCTGGAATCTCCAAAGACTACAGTAAACTGGATGGTCTCTGATGCTTTAACTTTACTTGTTGGCGCGTCAAACAAGTCGCCACAAACTCAGCTATATCTTTCTTCATGTTATCCCAGTAGTAAGTGTTGTTTCATATCACGATACATCTTGGTGCTCCCAGGATGTACCGTATATTGAGAGCGATGTGCCTCTATTAGAATATCTTTCTTAAGCTCAGGATCTTGCGGAACACATGTTCGGTTTCGGTACTTCAGAGTTCCATCAGGCTCTAACGTGTATTCAGGTAGTTTTCCTTTCTGAACTCTTTCTTTTCGTTGCTGTAGAATCTCATCATGCTCTTGAGCTTCTCGAATTCTGGGATATAACGTTGACAAGACGGAGATATTGCCAAAGACAATTCTTTCTTGTTCTTCCTTGGGATTCCAGTCAAATACTTGCTCCAAGAGTTCTATCTCCTTGATCATTAATCTTGCCACTTGAGCTTTTCTACTCAGTGCATCAGCCACTTTGTTCTCTTTTCCTGGATGATAATTGATGGTGCAATCATAGTCTTCTAGGAATTCAATCCATCAACACTGTCACAGGTTCAAATCTTTTTGAGTAAAAAGATATTTCAGGTTCTGATGGTCTGTCAATACCTCAAAAGTCACTCCATAAAGATAATGCCTCCACTTCTTCAGGGCAAAAACAACAGCTGCATGTTTGAGGTCAAGCATAGGGTAATTCTTTTCATGATCTTTCAGCTTCCGTGATGCATAGGCAATAACTCTCCCATGCTGCATAAGAACACATCCCAAGCCTTCTCCAGATGCATCTGTATACACCACATAGCCATCATTTCCTCAAGGCAATGCAAGTATTGGTGCTGTTGTCAGTCACTTTTTCAACTCTTCAAAACAAGCTTCAGCTCTATCGTTCCACTCAAATTTCACCTTCTCCTGAGTGAACCTGGTCATTGGTGCTACAATTTTGGAGAATTCTTGCACAAAGCGCCGGAGTATCCAGCTAACCCAAGAAAACTACAAATCTCATTAACATTTTCTGGCCTCTTCCAATTGGTGATGGCTTCCACCTTTGAAGGATCGACATATATTCCTTCTTTAGAAATAATATGCCCCAGGAATGCAATCATCTCCAACCAGAATTCACATTTATTGAATTTAGCATAAAGCTTATGCTCCCTCAGAGTCTACAGCACTAAACGTAGATGCTCCGCATGTTCAATAGTAGACTTGGAATAAACAAGGATGTCATCAATGAAAATGTCAACAAATTTGTCCGAAAAAGAGCTGAAAAACACGATGCATAAGGGCCATGAAAGCTGCAGGTGCATTACTCAAGCCAAATGGCATGACTCGAAACTCATAATGGCCATATCGGGTACTTGAAGCAGTAATTGGAATGTCCTCCTTCTTAACTCTCAGTTGATAATATCCTTGTCCTAAGTCTAATTTAGAAAATGTAGTTGCACCCTACAGTTGATCAAAAAGTTCATCAATAAGAGGCAATGGATTTATTCTTGATCGTCACGTTGTTCAAACCCCGATAATCTATACATAACCTCAAGGTTCCATCTTTCTTCTTCACAAACAGTACTGGAGCTCCCCAAGCCAAGGTACTTGACAGGATAAATCCCCTTTCAAGTAAATTTTGAAGTTGTGTCTTCAATTCTTTAAGTTCAACTGGTGCCATTTGATATGGTGCTCTTGAAATTGGGGCGGTACCCGGCAACAGCTCTATATGAAATTGAACCTCATGTTGAGGTGGTAAAAGTTTTAATTCATCAAATACATATGGGAATTCAGCAACAAAAGGCACTCCTTTTGGCTGCACCTTATCAGCTGGGGAATTTGCCAAGTAGGCAAGAAAGGAAGTAGCACCTTTGAAAATTAATTTCCTTGCTCGTAAACCCGAGATCATGGTTGTCGGCCAAAATCTACCACATAATGTTACTTCTAACATTGGTTGTTCAGGAACACAGATACACAATTTTTTATCAATAGTCGACATAAACATGGTACCGTAACAACCAGTCCATCCCAAGAATAACTTCATACCCCCTTATTGGAAACACCACTAAATCTACTGGAAAGTTTCTTTTTTCTACCCAAACATCACACCCATTATAAACCCGGTCAGTGGTGGCAAGTCTATCTACTGTTGGTGTGCTAACCTCTAAACGATAAGTGAGTTTCTCTTCCCTTGCATTTAATTTATCAATAAAGCTAGAGGTTACAAAAGAATGGATAGAACCGGGGTCTACTAACACTTTAGCAGGTTGAGAGAATACTAGGAACATACCTTCTAGTACTGCAGATGGTTCAGGTTCCTCTTGAGCCTCCAAAGCATACACTTGAGCTGCCACCCTCGGTTTAGTTGTTGCAGCCTCTAATTTCGTTGGGACTGGTTTACTTGCTGTAGAAGTTGATGAAGTCTCAGCCTTAACGTTGATACTAGGACAATCACGAACCTGATGTTCAATGCTACCACAACAAAAGCATCTCCGTGATGTTGTCCAACAACTGATCTCTGTATGCCCTGGACATTGAAATTTATTGCAGAAAGACATTTGTGGCTGTGGAGCAACTGGTCTTGGTGGTCTCCAAGGTCCGGGGGGTCTAACATGCCTAACAGGTTGCCCAGCTGGATTTCTTGGTTGAAAACCCGACCTTTTACTAGGTATGTAGTTTTTCCGTCTCAGCCATGGCATCGTTGCTGGTGTAGCTAGGTTTCGAACATGGAGGCCTTTCCTCTTGTTATCTACACTTTCAGCCTTCTGAGCCGCCTCCACCACCTGTGCGTAGGTACCTTCCTTCATGGTTGACAGTACCCACTGTAATTCCAAACTCAATTCCTGCACAAATCTTTTTCTTCTTTTCATGTCGGTATCTACCAATTAAGGAACGAACTTGGAAAGCTTGTTAAATTTTGCAACATACTAAGCAACTGTCATTTCATTTTGCTTCAAACAAATAAAATCTTCTTCCCTTTGCTCACGAACCATTGCAGACAGCTAGTTGTTGAGAAATTTCCGCACAATGTTGGCCCAAGTAGTTGGTGTGTGTTCTTGTAAATGGTACACTGCAAATGCGACATTTCGCTCCTCGGGATAGTGGAGTATGGTAAAAATGTTATTCATCCTCTCGAGCCATCGCTCCACCATCTCTGGCCCTTCCTCCCCAGTGAAGTATAAAGTCCAAATTTCCGAAATCTTTCTAATGCAACATCTTCTGGAACTTGACTAGGTGGTTGGGACATACAGGTCTCTTACCGTTCAAAGTACTGCGCCATGCGCTCGACAGCACTCATCATTCTTTCTACGACTACATCACGGGTGCGGTTCCAGGTTCCTCGGTTCCAATAGGTGGCCCTGAGGCTCTGTCTCCCTCCATCTATTTATAAAAATTCCACAAGCAATGAGGGAAACAAGTAAATAAAGAAACATGGACTTGTGACAGACATTACGCACAAGCAAACATTCACAAGTTAAACATTTGTTGCACAAATAATAAAATCATCTGAAGTATGGATATCACACATAACACATACACTAGTACTGCAATGAAGTAGTTAAGTTAGCCACATTGTTATTCCTAATAAAACATTAATCCTACTCAACAGATTCATAACCCACATCTAGTTATCTATACCACAACTTCATGCCATTTCAACTTAGGCTCTGATACCAATCTGTGACACCCTCTAACCCGCTCCAATTAGCTTAATACTAATTAAGGAGTCTTAGAAACGCGTCTTACTCTCATCGGGACTCATGCGGAAGAGGACTATTAACAAGGGGTTTTATTGATTAAATACAAGAGGGCCAAATGATTAAAGAGAGGAATCAGTCCCCGTATTATGATTCCAAAGATTTGAAAAGGTTGCAAACAGAAACTGATAAAAGTAAAACAATACATTCCCTTTAATCGAGTCTGTACTAATATTCCATTTGCTAAAGACTTGAAAAGGGGAGTCAAGTAATCTCGGAATTATGAGTAAGGAAAATAAATGAGGAAACATAGCAAAGCACTCAGTAAACAATGAGAGTAAGGCATTATGTTTGTCACATTTGCAAACAAAGCCTCCAAGTCCCAAAGGTGAGAGATTAGAAAGAGGTCCTTTGAACTCAACTGACGTATCAAAAAAAACATTTAAATGGTTTGCAATGCTAGAAGAGCAGAAGTTGAAGAGCAAACTGACTCTTTTTGGCAACCCAAAATTGATGTCCTCAACAGGACATCTTGTTTATATAACCAGGAACTCCACACTTCCCTGAACATGGGATCCTACAACTAAAAAAACACACAACAGCTACTGACATAACCAGACCTGCAAATCAAACCACACAACTACTTCTAAATATTAACAGACCTGCAGCACCTAATGTACCCTACTTTCAAACCTCTATTCTATTTCATAAAACATAATTATATACAGAGACCAGCAACTCAACCATCAAAAGAACCACAGGTGACCATAGCAACCTGAAACAAAATCCACTGGTACCCGTAGTGAGCTTCTTGGTAGCAAGGATCAATCCACTCGTAATCGTACTCGTTAACCTCAAAACTTGTGATCTATAACATCCTAAGGGTTGAGTTATGCTCAGTGAGTTTCCCCCTAGTTTTCAAAAAAACATTTTTCCATGCATAACACTCAGGGTTCACATGCACGCAAGCAATTTTAGCAATAAATTAAATCAGGCGCAAGCGCAGATAATTTTCGGAACAATGCGACTTTGCGCGAAGACCACATGCAACTCATGACATAGCCAGACCACACAGCAAGCTAGAGGTCTCCACATAATATCATCACGAGCCAAGGACATAGCAAGATCACACAGCAAGCTAGAGGTCTCAATGGCTCCAAACATTTCCGATTTAGGGAGCCACACTACACCAAGAATCAACCACGGACCGCAGTCCCAAACATTTCCGATCCAAGGCATCACACTTTCACCAAGGGTCAACCCACACAATTTTTCGGACCAAGCGATACAACACGCAAGCCCCACAGAGAATCACGGACCAAAGTCCCACATATCATGCACAAGCATCACACACAGTTTGCAACAATAGCCACACAATCACACATGCATTCATTGCACAAGCAGATTACAAAAAGTTAAATAAAACTTAAGAATAACATTTAAATAATTATAAGAGGAAAAAGATAGGGAATACTCACCTTTTTCCTCAGCCGCTACAGGGTCGTATTCGTAAGGTTCTATTGTCTCAAAAGATCTCAGCTACCGACTCTGCGGGTTAAGTTATTTGAGAGTTAGTACTTTAGTCAGAACTGTCATAAGACAAAATAAGTAGTTCTGTGTGTTAATAGGCCTCAATCGACATATCTAACTCTAAGCAGCTCCTTATCAATCCTTAACAAAACCGGTGCCTTAGCTAGTCTACAATACTCGATACTTAGTGAGCCTAAATTAGTCTATGCATCAAGGACAACTAAAATGAATAAGCAACATGGAGTCAATGCATACAAAGAGATAGTTTATCCCTCTGTATTCCTTTTTTTCAACAGGTAGTTTATAATGTTTAATTACTACTTCAGTCTTGTACAATGCCATCTACTATCCAAAGGAGAATCATACTCCCAGATTGATTTCCCTTTTAAATAGTAGACGTGAATCCACTTAATCCAAAGGCTTTCCTTATGCTTCTCTATGTCTCAAATCTGTTTGCCTACTAATGCCTGGCTCCAGATAGCAGGATTTTTGACATGTAATCCCCCTTCATTTTTACTTTTACACACATCTACCCAAGCAACAAGGGAATGATATTTACCAGATTCCTTTTTACCCCAAAGGAACTCTCTACAATATCTCTCTATTTGGCCTATCACAGATTCGGGAATCATAAATATGCTAGACCAATACGAGTGAAGACTCATCTCCACTGAATTTATCAGAACTAATCTACCGGTATACGACAAATTTCTAGTAGACCAACATTTCAATCTAGCCACTATTCTATCTACCAACACTTGACAATCCAGCTGAGACCAAGCAGTGGGAGATATAGGAACTCCAAGATAACGAATAGGAAAATTACCAATCTGAAATCCCATGATTTGCTGTAAACTTGTCTGCATGTCTTCCTTCACTCCACCGAAATACAGGTTGGACTTGGGGATGCTAACTGTGAGTCCAGTGGTTGCTTCAAATTGCTGCAAAATCACCTTGATCCTTCTGACAGTGGGAATATCTGCCTGGCTGACGATAATCAAGTCATCAGCGAAACTTAAACTGATGATTTTAAACTTATCACAGTACATGTGATACTTAAAGTCCCCTTTCCCTGCTTCCTGCTTGAATAATCTGTTTAAATACTCCATTGTCATCACGAAAATAGTCTGTTTAGGTTCTACTAGATTTTACAATAGTTAATTGATATATATGTAGTTTTCAATACAAAAAGTTATGCTAGCGGGTCAAGACTCTTGGAGCTACACTTTTTAGTTCACCTCCATTCTTCTGTATAATGGACATTGCATTTGGAAGGATATCTTCTTGCAATGCGAAGAACTCCAAATCACCAGTGTGTGGGATCAAACACCACAACCTAAGCTCCATGACATCACCAATTTTGATGAGTCTACAATAAGGCTTCATTGTCTTGGAATCGACCTTCTTAAACCTCTTCAACATGTTGGTGTTCTAAGTGGTAATTTTCTTGATCACCAGTCGGTTAAACTTAAGGAAGAGATCCTCTTGTCCCCCAGCAATGAATTTGGAATCACCACAGGTATCCTTCTTTTGGAAATTTTCTCCGTCATAGAATATGTTGTGTTAGTAACCTCCCCTTCAACCTATCCATACTGATCACCTCTCCAATTGAAAAAGAGCGTGACAGCCCACCCTGGATACTCTCCACCATTTTTTTTTTCAAAAATGGAGGTGAAAATTCCACCAACCCGAGCCACCGGGCCTAATTTCTCAATCATCAATCAAAATAGTCCAGCAATGCTCACAACTACAAAGAAAATCAGCCCGATTGTATTAATTGTTTCAAAAGACCTGGTGGGTAGGGAACCAAAGAGTCACTACACCTTCAAACTGTCCATTATCCAGCAAAACATAATCAAACCGGCAGTTTGCAAAATCTTCGTGTAGTATTCCAAAGGAATGAGTGTTGGTGCCCACCAAGCTGTAATAATAAAAAGTGTCTCAAAGGGTAAGAATGTTCAAAAAGTCAAATATGAGCAGTAAAAGTGTTCTTGCAGAAAGTGGCAAGCGTAAAAGACGTTGCAAAACAACTCAAGACTTTTCCTTTCTTATAGGATTGAAAAATCAATCAACTTATACATCATCTTTGAAGAGTCAAGTACAAAGTATCTATAGTTTTTAGAGATAGAGATAATTTTTTCAAACTTAGAATCAAATATCTCATCAAAGAAAATCAACCTTAGATGCTAGAGGTCATACTACTAAATCAAATCAAGCTTGTGTTAAATTGGCCAAAAGATAACACTTAACTACACCAGTAAAAATGTCCAAAGAACATAATCATACTAAATAAAGTTACAATACAAAACTTAGTTGAAACATTTCATCAAACACATTATGTTCCATGGCATAAATATAGAGTTTCATACAAATAAGACGAAACCTAACCATCAACAATCCAAACTAGTAAGTAAACTAATGAATATTGTTCTAGTGAACTTGACCATTTGGAAGGAGGTCATTTTTTTTATACTAGACCTAACGATTATGTCAACAAATGAGAAAAGCCTAACTAGATAAGTTAAATATATTTTGAAACCTATAAAATCATCACAAAATGCTTTATAAGAAACTTAGAA